GCTCTGCGCCTTATCGCACTCATCTGAATTTATTTCTTTACTTAGGAGCAAGTGTTTGAAAAGGTTGCCAGCCGTATAATCGATGGATGCGTGAATGGCTTCAACGGCACCATATTCGCATACGGTAACTACCAAATCATATCCCTGGCATGTTTCACAGTTATCATACTTTAGGCCAAACCGGCTCCGGGAAAACGCACACTATGCTTGGACCGTCTCAGGTCGACAACTTCATTGTAAATCCTGAACATCGCGGTCTAATTCCTCGAGCTTGTGACGCGCTCTTTACAAAGTTATGCACCATGACAGCTGAGGTAGAGCGCTTATGCTTTTGTAGTATGTGTTTCTCTGAGGAAAAGTGATTTTCAGAAAGGAGAGAACTTTAAATACGAGGTGGTATGCCGTTTCGTTGAGCTGTACAATGAGGAATTCTACGATCTTCTCGGCGATTCACAGCAGAAGCTCACAATACGTAGCGATTCAAATGTAATCGAGTTATTACCGCCACTGTTTCTCTTCTATACAAAAATTTCCTCTTTCAGGTAGTTCAACTTCTTGGCGTGTCCGAGCATCCAGTTCAGTCAAGCATCGATCTGATGAGGGTAAGTAATGGGCAGTAGGCATTCATTTTCATCACCTGTTTTATAGTGAAAGTTGTTGTACTACAAGCGCTAACGTAGTTTGGGCGAAGAGAGCATGCGGCATGGCGCCTACGAGCAGAGTACAACATCGTTGGGGAAATCCTGTAAGGGGATTGTATCTGGTCACTGAGCAGGGGCTGTATTCGCCTTCGAAAACAATTTTCCGAACCGCAGAGAACTTTTTCCGGTTCTTAACTTCTCTCGGTTTTTTCTCATGTTCATATTTTCTCTCTCTAGTTCGGCACCCCAGAACTACCATACAGTACTTTCTCTTAGTATTGTAGTTGCATTGATGCTGATCGTCCCCTTCTCCCGCTCGACCCAGTTTTTTCATGGGAGGGATGGGGTCGGACTGAAACTTTTTTCTGAACTGGGAAAAGTAGGAAGTTGGGATAGGTTAAAGAAGAGGATAGGTAGACCGGAAAGGGGGTTGTACCAGATGAATCCGGGGTGGAAGATCGCACTGACTGACATCACGATTCTCCACACTGCGTGCGAGGCTATGACACTTCGATTTTGCTCGTCTTAACTGCGCTAAGCGTGAGCCTTGGTCAGAGACGGGGCTTCGGCGCGTCGGTACTCTCCCCTTCCCTTACCTCCCACTTCCCTCACCCACCCCCCCTCCCGCCCGCCAGTCCCACCATATTAGCGCCACATTATATTGCGACGCACATGTTTATCGCGCGATTCGCGATGTACAGCTCCACACAAAATAGGCAAGGAACTCCAAAGGCAGCGTTCAGACTTCGCGACGACAGCGCTTCGGTCACGCGCTCGACGCGATCATGCAGTTGAAAACATGTGCATCGATCGCGTCGAACGCGCGAACGGAGCGCTGCCGTCATCTGAACGCTGCCTAACTCTACTGCTTTACTGCTTTTCGTACTGAGACACTTCGGGGATTCTGCACGAATGCCACCATTATTTTACAAAGCTTACGGAAATGAATAAGTAATCCGGGAGCTTCAATGCCTAATAAATGTTCAGGAAACGTTCTGTGTAGTTCTGGCATGTCGAGGCGCTGTTCGGCTGGGAAAGGGAGGGGTGGGGTTGGGGAACCAGTGTTTCTTAGCAAATCTAGTTCAGGCCACTTTCGTGTACCGCAGATTCACAGGTAGTTTACAGCGAAAGTGCAAAATGTCCCCTCAAGCCGAACAGCCTCTAATTTTTGGTAAGTGGTGTAATTGGTACACGAGCAGAAAGTGGGATTTTGAATAACAAGTCTCTGCTTGCTGCTGTAAAGAAATAAAACAGTGAGGTTAGAGATTCGAGGTGCCCTTACTAAGTGGTCAGCAGTTCCACGCTGTGGTGTTCGTTTTGACATTGCTCTTGAAATTTAGATCTTGGAAATCGGATGGGTCACAAGAAGAACTGGGGAAACGGCGATGAACCGGGAATCGTCTCGATCGCATGCTATGTTCAGCATAGACGTGAGCTTTCTCTTTTTGTACTCTAGTTCGCGCGGATGAAGGGCGTGTGTGTCACGACGCCAGACCCGTTCTCCATCAGCTGTTGAAGCGGATGAACGACAGCAGCTGATAGAAAACGAGTGTTACGACGATACAGTACACTCTTGTTCGCTTCAAAACCTGGGGAGAATGGCTTGGCATCGCTCCAAACTCATCGCGCCTGACACGCCCCTCGTCCGCAGCGAACTAGACTATACACGCTCACTCTGTTTCAGGTGAGAACTGAAGGAGTTAATCAATACTATTGTTAACAAGAAGAGTGCTACGCTGAATATGGTCGACCTTGCTGGGTCAGAAAGGCAGTCACAAGCCCCAACTGTAGGAAACCGATTCAAAGAGGCCGTGAATATTAACAAGGTGAGAGCCAGTTTGTCGTGAACTCGCAGTTAGATTTTCTGATAGTAATGCTGCTTTCAGTCACTCAGCGTATTAGGTCGCGTAATTCGAACGCTGTCAGCAGCAAATCGCCGTGGCGAGTTCGTCCCCTATCGTGAATCCAAGTTAACTCACATTCTACGGGATTCACTCGGAGGAAACAGTAGGACAGCTGTGATCGTCAACCTTCATCCTGACATGGAGTAAGTCATCTATTTTCAGAATTCTTGCATAGTTTATGGGGTATCAAAAGAAAGAAAATTTGGCCTTGTGAATCTATTCTTGCACACAATCTCAGGTCGTTG